AGGAGTAATTTGATGATTGACTAAAATTATACTAATTTTAATTACATAGAATAGAAGTTGAAAGAACTAATATATCAATCTAAACTCTGTATAAAATAATATATAATTAATATTACCACCATTAATACACATATAACTTTAATCAACTATTTCAATTACTAGTGTTTAACTACAACCACTCAACATTATGTATTAATATAATTAGATTGAGTGAATATATACATTATATTTAATAAAATAATGTGTTTGATATAACTAGATTGAGCAGTATGCAGAGCTAAACCAAAATATAGCTATAAATTGTAAGAAAATTTATTGCTATGTGTGTTAATCAGACTCCAAAATTAAATTTGTTTATCAAATTTCATCTTCATTAGTTTGGTGTTTATAGAGGATATTTAGTAGTAGTAGTTTTTAACCACTCATTGCATTTTAGGTTTTAGGTTTGTACATTAGGTACGAAATTTTTTTTGTTGGAAGCGCTATTTGTGACTTTTGTAGTGTGCAATTTTGGGTTCAGCAAGAGCTCCAATGTGTAATTCAAACTTTGGGTGAGAAACAATAAAAAACATTTGTCTAAATACAACTTATTTTACTAAATTTCCCTATCATTTGACAAAAAAATCTCTATTTCCTTCGCTCTCCTTCATATCCTCAGATACATCACTCTTACGCAATGTATCAAAATAGGTGTGTCTTGTGTATCAACAAAGGTAATGTATCGGAAAGCGTTGTATCAGAAGTTCAGAACGTTGAGAGATGTATCGAGACAAATGTATCTTGTATCAACAAAAGTAATGTATCGAAAAGCTATGTATTGGGACGTTAAACGACGTATCTGGATTATCCAAGACTTGTATCATTTGATGATGCCATGTGAATCGCTAGAAACATGTGAAGTGTATGGCTAACCCAATAAATTTTAAAAAAGAGAAATAAAATGTAATTAGTTTATTTGTGTAGTTTTTACAAAAAAATTATAATTAATAAATGGAAATTTTTCAAAATGTCAATATTTTAGCATTTAAGAGGAGTCATTAGCAACAATTTCAATATTTAGTAAAAATGTCATTTTAGTTTGTTATGTATCTTATTTATGTTTTTATTATTTATTTTTATTTAAAGAATATAATTATTTAATAACAAAAAGGAGAAAATTAAGGGGGGAATATTTCAAAAAAAGACAAGCATCCTTAATTTTCTCATCAGTTACATTTTCAAATAAAATTTAAATTTTGTTTTTTTTCTCCAGAATTTTTATCTTTTTAAAATTATATTCATTCCACAATATATTCTATTTATATTTATTATAA